AAAAAAAAAAAAAAAAAAAAAGAAAGAAAGAAAGAAAAGGGCTGAGGGTGTAGCTCAGTGCAAAGGCCCCAAGTTTGTTTCCCCAGTACTGCCTTCTCCCTAGGAAAAAAAGTCAACTTGACCAAATTAAAGCCCTGCCTAAATCTGATCAAAAAAGGCCTCATTGCCTATAGAATATAACTAAACTTTACCAGTGGAATGTCATTTTGTGCTGGAGGGTCTTTTCACATACTCTTCCCTTTATTTGGAATGCCCATTGTTTCCATCTTATTATGCCTGAAAAACTCCTAGCCATCCTTTAAGGTCCTTCTGAGGAACCCTTTTGATGTAAGATGTCTCTTGACTATTATTTCATCTTACATGTCTCCTTATGATACACAAAGCACATGGTAACTTATCTGTCTGAATGTCTTCCACTTTACTAAACTAAACCTCTTGAAAGTCAGGGTTTTGTAGAATTTCACTTCATATCTACCCTTCAATCCTGTTACACTGTTGCATAGGAAGAACTCGAAAGACATTAAATGAATAAAGGAATACTGCGCCTTCAGGTTCTAATTTTAGGATTCCCCAAGTTTGCTTCCCAGAATTGAACAGCAGATGGCACTATTAGGCCACCTAAGTCTTCCCTGAGAACAAATTTTGTCCAACCTTGTGTGACTTTGGCCTCATCCTAGAATCTGATATGCCATTACAGGTGAAATTCCTATTTCCTTCCTTGGGCAATTAGCAAAGATTGTAAAATGACTCAACGGCTTGATTTCTGTGAGAAGGGATTGGCAGATATCCAAGGATAGGTGCAGCTGAGCTATTTTCTTTGTCTCAATTTATTCTTGTAATAGGGGTCTTTTTTCTTTTTTAATTTCTTTTTCTCTTTATTGCTCTTGTCATAAGGTAGAACTTTATTCATGGATGGGTTCCTCATTGCTGCTCATTCCAAAAGGGGAGAAGGAAACTGGCTATCTAAAGAGATGATTGTGAAGTGGGAAGTGAGAGAAAGCAGAGGGATGGATCACTCTGCCCATGAGTTGACCTTCCTCCTCACAGTGAAGTGGCCTGAGCAAATTTTCTGGACACCAGGGCCTTATGTTAGATGTTTGTGTGCTTGTCCAAGGCTAGCATCAAGACTGCCCAGGCTGGGCGTGGTGGCGTATGACTGTAATCCCAGTACTAAGTTCAAGGCCAGCCTGGACTATATAGTGAGTTTAAGGACAGCTGAACTACATAGAAGACCCTGTCTCAAAGAAAAAAATACTGTTCCCACTATCTTGGTGCTTTTGAATCCCTAGGCTACCGGAGATGGCTTTGTACATGTAGTTTTAGGCTCCTACTTTCCAGAAAAGAGCAGTAGAAGCATAGAAACCTTTGTCAGATAGGCACTTTTAATAGCCTTAGGCTATACTGTCCCACTCCAGAGTCTCCTCTGGTGTCCAAGGCACTAGGACCTTCATATGCTCTTCCCTCTTCCCACCTAAAACGAGTTGGTGGAAAGGATTCCAGATAAACATCTTAACTTCCAGATGATTATAGACTAGAAATTTTGAAACTGAAAGTGATTTTATAAATCATTTGTGTGTCCTCTTTCAGAGGACATGTGTGCCCCAAACTCTATTCTTTCATGGTAAGGAGAACCGGGAAAGGAAAAAAAAAATATGAATTTTGGAGATAGACTTATTTGGATTCAAATAATTGTCTTGGACAAATATTGTAACCTTTCTTTTTTTCTTTTTCTTTTTCTTTTTCTTTTTTTTTTTGGTATCAGGGATCAAACTCAGGTCCTTGCGCTTGCGAAGAAGGCAGCAGAACAACTAAGCTAAATCTCCGGCCTTTAACCTTTCTTTCTTTCTTTTTTTTTGGTACTGGGGATCGAACACTGGTCCTTGCGCTTGTGAAGCAGCCGCCGGAACCACTGAATTAAATCCACAGCCCCTTAACCTTTCTTAATAGAGCAGTTTCCTCATAAACTGGAGATCTTGTCTTGAGCATTAGAAATGATAGTTTAAAACCCTTGCACACTGTAGCTGACACAGTATTTGTGCTATAACAGTGGCGTGAAGCATGCTTTTCCTTAAAGGTGGTAGTTGGAGCACTTGCCTACCATGCTTAACGAACTGAGTTCAGTGCCTGGTACTGCATAAGTAATTAAGTACATAAATAAATAAATAAATAAATAAATGTATATTTACAAAGGCTTTTGGGGTTGAATTGTGCTTGCAGTAGCACTCTGATTAATTTGCTAAATACATTGGAACACATCAGCATAGCGATTTATCTATAAATTTTTTTTTGGCACTAAAGTCCTGAACCTCCTGGGCTGTAAAGGGATTCTATCTATAGAGAAAGCCAAGAGTACTTTTCCTTAGCTTCTGGAACCTTCTGATGACATTGAAGGGTTTTTTGTTCAGGTTTTTTCTAACCACCTCAGGCACTCTGCCACTTTTTTGAAGTGTGAATTGCCTGCTGTCAGCCTAGAGTTCTCACCTCCGCAATCCTGGCTGCAGGCATATTTACATATTGGATGCTGTGTTCTTTAACCCCCTGAGGTTTGAATCCACTTGGAATCTGTGTCAAAGCTGGCTGCTCTCAAACCCCTGGACAGTTTCAATTCCCTGGTCTTCAGAAAACCCCCAACAATAGCTCCATTGACTTTTATGTAAATGGCACTCTTCAGGAAAACACTGAGCTATTTCCCAGGGCCCCAGAACGAACTCAAACATTTGTTTGAGTGGGAGGTGGGAAGAGTGCTGTGTTGAGTCAATGAACATCTGTTGAGAGCTGCTGTTCTGGGTCCCAAGGAAACAGCTCATAGTCTGGCTCTTCCCTGCTACAGGTACCAACGGATTTACTGTGCAGGCATGCATGCTTATAGTGGCTTTGTACTGTGTCACTTGAAATAAGCTGGAACTGTGTTTCCAAGGATTCTCTTCCTATCTGATTCCAGGTCAGCACTGACCACAAGAAAGTTTTGTGTACAATTTAGAAAGCCTAAGTAAGTCGCAGTACACTGAGGGACAGAGCTGGGTGTGAGACACAGTGACAATGCATATGCTTTGATACTGGTCAGTCACTTACAGCCTCCTGCTTCTCTACATCCTGTAGCAGAAATTTGTGGTGTGGTTAGAAACCAGAAAGCTGCATAGAGGAGGTAATAACTGAGAGAGATAACTAGGAAGGTGCCTGTATAATATGTATGGGAGAGGAAGAAATTCTAGTAAATAGCTGGCTTAAGCCAAGCAATTGAAAGGGAGTAGAGTTCTGCCTTTCTAGAAGCATTATCCTTTCAATGGTCCATAGCACAAATGAACAATGAATTTCTGGCTGTAGCTCTTCTGGTTCCATTGAGATGAACCTTTGGCCTATATAGTTCTTAGATAAGGTCACCCCTAGTGACATCCACTGAGATACACTCTTGCTAGTCTACCCTTATCACTACCCTGCAATTCTCCCCTCGCCCCTATTCCTTGCCACACAGGAAAATATTGGCATGGTGTCCTCTCACCTATGGCTCCAAATGGCCGCCCATGGCCTAACTTTCTTGTTTCTTACAGGCATGTTTACTTTCTCAAGCTGTATTGGTGGTGGCAGTGTATAGAGTAGTGCTCCAGAGCTTCCTTTCTTAGGCAGGGCACTGTGCCCTCTAGTCTTGGAACCCTAAACTTATCTAGGGGCTCCAGCATTTATTCTTCGGAGCTCCGTCTGAGGCAAGAGCAAGGTCTACTACATCTGTCATTTCTAATACTTTCCGGGCATCTTTATAGGAAGGGCATGGGATCAATTACATGTTTCCTTCTGAACTGTGAACCAGTAACTTACAAACTTTGTTTTTCGGGTCTGTAGTGACAGAGTGCTTCCTTTTGGCTTCCAGAATGAGAAAATGTTTCCACATAAATGAGAAGTCCAGGAAAATAGAACATAGTATTTAATAAAAGCCTACTACCACTTTACACATGAATTTTTAACTCCAAAAATATCTCATTATACATATTATTCTTAACCATGCTTTTTTTTACTTAAAATGTTTGAATATCTTTTCTAATAAGCAGCACATTTAGTTCTACTCCATTTTTAATGGATTCACAATATTTTATCATACAGATGTAATGTACTTTAAAGATTCTACTATATTCTAAGATATTTGTTTCTGCTTTTCTTTCTTTTTGATTCTGCAAAAAGATTACAGCAAACATCCTTATGTATATATCTTAAGTATGTATTTATGTATGAAAACCCCTAGAAATGGAATTGATCTAGAAAAATGTGCATTTTGTTTTGATAATTATTATCAAGCTACCTTCCTAAGGGGCTATTCTAGCTTACTCTTCTACCAGGAGCATGAGAGAGCATAGACCAGAGGTGGGGAACCCATGACACGGTTACTGCAGCAAGGTTCACCATCACACAGACCATTGCAAACCCCTCATTTGAGTTCATTTTCAGTCCTTAAAAATGGTTTTTGCTAGGTGTGGTGGTTCACTCCTGTAATTCCAGCACTCAGGAGGCTGAGGCAGGAGGATCACCACAAGTTCAAAGCCAGCCTGATTTACATAATTCCAGGCCAGCTTGAACTGCATAGTGAGACCCTGTCTCAAAAAAAAAATTTTTTTTACAGGTTTAGGAAGCTTTGTAGGGCTACAGGTTTAGCTTGCTGTTAGGGAACTTGCCGCGAATGCATCAGGTTCTGGGATCAAGCCTCAGAAAAAAAGTTTGGAAAGGTCTTGGGGTTGGATGTTTGGTTTTCTGATGAGAAACTGCTCTTGCCTAAAGTAACATTGCCATTTACAGTATTCTTGGTCCTGAGAATTGCTCTTGAACAGTTTTCAGTTTGGGCCTGACTTTTATGTCTTTATCCGCCTCGATCTCAACTCTATCGAGTGCCAACAACAGTGCCGTGGAGGGCAGTAGCCCCTCTGCATGGGCCCTGCTATCACTGAGCTGCAGCTCCTTCAGCCCTGCTGACTTGACCAGGGCCTTGTGCTGTCTGTACCTCTCTCCCAGGTCTTCACTATATTTAAGTATTCACTGGCTTTCACTTGTTTTGCCGTCCTACCTGAGGACCTTTGCCCATGCTGTCCCCACTACTTGAACCACACTCTGTCCTCTCCTTCCCTTTACTGATTTATCCTTGACTCATCCTGTGCTCCTCTGCTCAATTATCCCTTCTTTCAGGAACCCTTGCATTATCCCTCAAATAAAGTCAAGCCTGCTCATCACTTGTTTTCCTCTGTAGTATGTACCTTATGGCAATTATTTTTAAATGGGTTTGGTTAGTCTGCCTCTCCCACAAAATTATTAGCTGCCTGAGGGCCATGGCGTGGTGCAGGGCTTAGCATGACAGATACAACCAACCGCAGATGAAAATACTAAAAAAAATTACATCTGTACAGAACATCCATACAGATTTTATTCTTATCATTATTCCCTAAACAGTACAGTGTAACAACTATTTATACAGCATTTACATTGTATTAGGTATTAAAGGTAATCTGGAGATGACCTAAAGTATGTAGGAGGATGTGTAGGTTATATGCAAATACTAGGCTATTTTATATAAGAGACTGAACATCTATAGATTTTGGTATCCTCAAGGGGCCGAAGCAATTTCCCTTAGATACTGAGGGTGACTGAATGTAGTAGGTGCTCAGTATTTATTGAATGAACTAATTATATGAATGTTTCTATAGCAAGGCCTTAAGTAAAAGATCTTCAGTTTTTTTAAGTTAATGTTCTTTGTAAAATTCCAAATAATACAAAAATATATGGAATAGAAAATAAATTTCTCAATAATTTCATCTTCTAGAAGTCGGGCGTGGTGCCACACGCCTGTAATCCCAGCACTCCGGAGGCTGAGGCAAGAGGATCGCTGTGGGTTCGAGACCACCCTGGGATACATAATGAGTTCCAGGTCAGCCTCAACTACATAGCGAGACCCTGTCTCAAAAAAACAAAAACAAATTTTTTTTCATATTCCAGAAACCAGTATTAATGAGGTGTATTTTTCTGCACATATAGAAATGCCAGGAGCAGTTGTGAACACCTGTAATCCTAGCTGCAAGGCAGGTGGAGGCAGGATTGCAATTTCGAGGACAGCCTTCTCAAAAAATAACTTTAAAAGGGTTGGAGATGTAGCTCATTGGTAGAGCATTTGCCTAGCAAGAGGACCTGGGTTTCTTTGGCTTAGTACCGCCCCCCCCCAAAAAAAAGAAAAGGGGAAAAATATATATGGTTCATTATTCAAATCACTTTACAAAATTTAAATCAAGGAGTGCTCACAGCAACCCTTTCAGGTAGAAGGTTATCCCTCATCTCATAGAGGAGAAAACTGACTAATGGGAAAACACACCGCCAATAAAGGTCAGAGAACCTGAAACCAGACTCCTCATTAATGCTCTTGACACTATGTGAGTTTGCCTCTTCTGGGATGGGAGAGAGACTTTCTGCTTCTGCCTGTTTGAACTTTAGATTTGAACCATGTGAATGTCTAACGTATTAAAAAGCCTGGTTAGCTGGGCCAGGTGATACAGATTTGTTGTCCCAGCACTTCAGATATTGAGGCAAGAAGATCATGAGTTCAAGGCCAGCCTGGGCTACATAGTGAGACTTTGTCTCAAAAGACCCAAACTAGGGCTGGGGATGTAGCACAGTGATATAAAGTGCTTGCCTTGCATGTGCTAAAGCTTTAGGTTCTATCTCCAGCATTTCAGAACAAGAATAACAATAAAACAAAACAAAACAAAACATGGTTAAAATTAAAAATTAAAATATCAACAAAGAGTCTTTTGGTAGACTAAGCTGCCTGCTTTAGGAAAGCCTCCTGAGTCATAAGAAATGCCATTGTTGGGTCTCTTTGTTTCAGGGGCTCAGAATGTAGGTTGTAAGTTTACCTCCAGTAGCCCTTGGAATGCTGCCATTTTCTTTGGGTTATGAGAGTACTGTTAGCACCAGAGTGCTACCACCCTCAGGGTAGTTATTCTTGTTTTGTGTAACTTACCAGTATCCCTCTGTGTTAAATTCTTAGATAAACCATGGCCCTTAGAGCATGTGGCTTGATCATCTTTCGAAGACACCTTATTCCCAAGATGGACAACAGTACAATTCAGTTTCTTCTGCTACAGGCGTCAGATGGCATTCATCACTGGACTCCTCCCAAAGGTGTGAGACCAGGGGGTTGGGGTCGTGCAGAAATGACAGGCATTGCTCAGAAATCCACACTGTGCCAGGTGTGGTGAGATACCTGTAATCCTAGCTCTTGGGAGGCTGAGGCAGCAGGATCACTTGAGTTTGAGTCTATATAGTCTGAGCTATATAGTGAGTTCAAGGTCAGTATGAACTACATATTGAGAACCTGTCTCAAAAAACAAAATGCACAAGGATCTGAGTTCAGTCCCTGGTACAAAAAACAAAAACAATATCAACAACAAAAAAGAAATCCACCCTGTCAGACCCCCTAAAAGACTTATTTCCCAGTGATTGTGCAGTTAAGGTTATGGGACAGGCAGAAACACTTGATCAATTGTACAAGGTGTCCAGGCCAGAGCAGAGCGGGAAATAGAATTTTGTGACTGAATCCCATGGCAGAAGCAACAACTGGTATTTTTATGAGTACCATTTACCAGAGTTCCAGCTTCTATGGTGAATGACTAGGGAGGAGAAAAGTTACTTGGCTAGGAATTGAACTGTGTGTCCACTTTTGTGGGCTTTGAGTTTTTTCTCTGTTAAGGATTTGAAGAAAAAAAAAAAACTCAAGTTTTTTTTTTTCCCTAGGGCTGTCTCTGATTTCATTTGATCAAGTTCCTTTGACTCTTTGTTCAGTATCCCTATCACTAGGTCTCTCTTTTGAGCTATACAGCCAGAGAATGAGTTCTGGAGTGTTTCTAAACATACTTGTATTTGGGGGCTGGGGATTTAGCTCAGTGGTTCTACCACCTGTCTCACAAGTACAGTGTCCTGAGTTTGAGCCCCCAAAACCAAAAAACCAAAAAACAAAACCATACTTGTATTTGGAGTTAGAAGGGTGGAGAAGGTGGGTTTCCTGGTAATACATTCATCTGTGGAGTGGCAGGAGTGGAGGAGTAAGGACTAGGAGCTGTCAAGACCATAGACACCTCAGGTTTGCAGCTTGGCCAGCCACCTGTGCCCTGGGTCTGTCACTCAGCACCTGGGTGGAGTTGGCTAGGTCTTCAGAATGTAAAACAATGAAGACTAGTGGTCTGGGGCAGGCAAAGATCTGTTTGTTAGCTGGCTGGTCTTCATCCACCCACATTCTACCTCTTTCAAGTAAGATAGAGCTGGATATGGTGGTGCATTCCTGTAATGCCAGCACTCTCTGAGGCAGGAGGATCACCACAGATTCAAGGCCAGCCTGAGCTACATAGTGAGTTCAAAGTCAGTCTGAACTACACAGACCATGTCTGAACACTGTGCCCCCGCCCAAAAAAGTAAGATAGATTCCTACAGGTGGACCTGAAAGAGAAGCCAGGCCATGTAGGGAGAAATGGGGAAAAGGAGCCATTCTTGCAGAGGACAGTAGGATCATCCTAGTAGGCAAGGACAGACTGTGTGGCTGGGGATTTTTAGCTCAGTGGTTCCACCTCCTGCCTTGCAAGTGGAAGGTCCCGAGTTCAATCCCTAATACCCCCCCCAAAAAAGGACTGACTATGGCTCTGGCACCTGCTGGGATGAGAAGCCCAGAGTAAACAGCCCCCAGACAGAAAAGGGAGCAGGGACTGGGATGGGAAGGGACGGACAAGGATGTAGAGTTGGAAGAAAACAAGAAAATGGTAACAGGAAACACATTTTTGCACATTTGAGCTACACTATGGAGAAAAAAGGTGAAGAAGAGACAAGTGTCATAAATACTATGAATAGGAATATTCACACATATCTCCTGATTGCCCAAGTCACACTGCATGGTTCCTCTCACTAAAAGTCGTAAAAGAACTTCTAATCATTTCTTGCTGGAGCTTAGGGGGAAGTTATCATTGATGGGCAGAAAACTGAACAGATATTCCTGGGAGGAGTGCACTCAGACAGGTTGAGATAGGGTAGTTCGGACTGGCCTCAAATTCACTATGTAGCCCAGGCAGGCCTCAAACTTGGAGTGATCCTCCTGCCTCAGGAGTCGGTGTTGGGATTGCAGGCGTTCCTCACCATGGCCAGCAAAATGGGTTCTTTAAATGCTAAATTCTTAGTTTTCTGTGTAGCAGCAACTACTTTAGGTCACCACAATTTGGCTTCTGGGAAAAAGGACTGGTAGGATATAGCTCCATCTCCAAACAAAGAGGGAAACAGCTGAGGGTTCCTGTTCTCCATGAGCTCCTGAACCAGGAGACCCCCAGTACCTTGCCAGAGCCAGGAGTAGACAGAGGAACCCTTCCTTCCCAGAACTTCTGGGCCCCTTTGGACAAGCTGAGAATTTGTGGGAAAGGCCTAGAAGTAAAGCTGAAGGCTGCTCCAGTCTGCAGAGCTTCAAGTTCTCCCACAACAGTTTCTTGGCAACTGTTGGCTGCCAAAAGTCTTAGAACTGGCTCTCAACTTGTCCTTAGTCTAAGTTCCCAGCAGGATTTTCCCTATGAAAGTGAAATCTGGCCTTGCTCAGTTAGAAAGATGAAAACAATTTGGAAAAAGCCTTGATGGCTACTTGGAAACAGCTGCTAATGTAGCAGCACAGGGTTTTGAGCCTGTGTTGGCCCCCAGACTTCGGGTGTTAAGTCCTCACTGGATTGTAAGCGAAGTACTCCCTGTTCAGCTGGCCCTACCTTGCCAAGAAGGAATAGCCCCTTGGAAAACTTACCTTCAGGTCTCCTAGTGGTCCCTTAAGAACACAGGAGGAGCTGAGTTCCAATGAATAAGAAAGCAGAAGGCTGAGGGAGGCCATCTCGCTTTCCATTGAAAAGGAGTATTTTAAACCTGACCTGGGAAAAACAGTCTGTTTCATTCTGCAGAGGAAATGGAGTGGGAAGGGGGATTACTCAGACCCCAAGAACCAAACACTACCTGTCTTGTACCCCTTCCCAGGCATGTTAGGGTATTGCCAATCTCCAAATTTCCTTTAAGCGAAGCCTCCTAGAAAAGTCATCAAAGAACCTATCATTAAATCACACAGCCTGGAAAAATCCAGCCCTAGAAACTGTAGACAGACTTCCTTCTTTTCTTTTTCCTTTCTTCTAACCAGGTCACGTAGACCCAGGAGAGAATGACTTGGAAACAGCCCTGAGGGAGACTTGGGAGGAAGCAGGCATAGAAGCAGGCCAGCTGACCATCATTGAGGGGTTCAGAAAGGAGCTCAATTATGTGGCCAGAGAGAAGCCTAAAACAGTCATTTATTGGTTGGCAGAGGTGAAGGACTACAACGTGGAAATACGCCTCTCCCACGAGCACCAAGCCTACCGCTGGCTGGGGCTGGAGGAGGCCTGCCAGTTGGCTCAGTTCAAGGAGATGAAGGCAGCATTCCAAGAAGGACACCAGTTTCTCTGCTCCACAGCATCCTGAGCAGGCATTTTCTTCTGTGGCATTCTCGGGGGCCTTCGGAGATTAACCTACCCTCAATTTAATGGAAAGATGTACTGATCTGGTTTGTTGTAGCCAAGAGGGGATAAATTAGTGAAATCAATTTAGAACTCTCAGATAAAAACAATAAAAATTTTAAGGCCAGGGATTTAGCTCATTGGTTCCACTGCCTGCCTCAAAAGCACTATGGGCCGGAGTTCGATCCTCAGTATCAAAAACAAACAAATAAAAAAACAAATAAAAATTTCAGCTGAGTAAAAAGATAAAGGAGTAAAAATTATTTTTAAAAGGACATACCCAGTAAGTACATCTTCTATTTTATAAATAAACCTCAAGCTGCTTACTTGTCTTTCTAATCTGTGCATTTATTTCTTAGTCTCTTTTTTGGAGGGTTGGGTATTGGGAATTGAGTTTAGGGCTTTTGCTCTAAGGTAAGTTCCCAGCCCTTTCTAAAATTTTTGAGACAGGATCTTGCTAAGTTGCCCAGTTTGAGTTTCAGCTTCCAATCCTCCTGCCTCAGCCTCCCAGAGTGCTGGGATTATAAACATGTGCCACCACACTCAGCTATTTCTTAGACTCTTGCCAATGGTGGTAGAAGAAAGCTAAAACAAATCAGAGCTCTAACCTTAATCTCTGGATACAGGGACTCCTGTACCCACTCGACTCCAGGAAAGGGGTAAGGAGTCAGAATGGGAGAGACCCAGCACTGCTAGGAAAACACTTCTTCCTCCGGAACTCCAAGCACCCCAACCCCATAGCCAAGACACCTATAATAGGACTTCCAAACAAGTGGGGCTGGAGCACAGAAGTTGAGTTTGCTTATTCAGTGATCTATCTCTCCCCAGCACCAGACACATATCTTGTTGGTACTCTGTAAATGTTTCCTTAATTACAGACCCAAGAAACTTCTGGTGGCTCTCCATTTCACAAGAGAGAAAATAGGCAGGCAACCCTGGACCACTCTGCCCTCAGCTCCAGCCTGCCTCCCAGAGTGATAAGCTTGTCAGCAGGACTGAGGTCACCAGGAGTAAGGCATGCCCAGGCTCCATTCCCTGCCCTGTGCTTTCATTCCTCACCTGCACCTGCCCCCCATCCTCGCCATCGCTGTTTCTCTCTTCCCATCCCCATCTACTCCTCCCTTTCTCCACACTTTACTGCAGGATTTGGGTCTCAGCCTTCTTTTCCCTTGCTACTAGGTCTCAATGAATACAGGGGCAGGTGTCAGGTCTTACATCCTTTCCAGAAGCTGTTACCAGCCGGGTGCATGTGGATTTTATTAGAGGGTTGTTACCCAATGAGGTGCAGAAGATTGGAAAGGAAGGGGCATTGGCAAAGGTCAGTATAGATTACCAGAGTCAAGAGCAACCCCCACCCCCCAAAGAAGGAGAGAGAAGTTGCCCAGAATTTAAGCAGGCTTCCAGATGTTTCCAGTCACTGATTCTCTGTGCAGACAGGGCAAAAGTACTAGTGAACAGGATCTTGGAACACAGCCAAGGATCTAAATGGTTTTGTTCCTCGCCCCTCTGAGCAGCACTCTCCAAAGGAGGCCTACTGCAGGAAGTTTTTGGAGCTTAGTGTTCTCTTCCAGGCCGGCAGGGACCATATCCCACTGATTTAATAAATGCCTGCTGGGCAGTGATGCCAAACCACAGACGAGCTGCTTCCTAACAAGGCTGGCCAGCCCTGCGCTTTCGGAACAGAGGCTGTGAAATCTCACAACTCTAAAACCTCATACATCAAAGTGGGAAAACTAAGAAAATGACCTAATTTTGGTGCTCATTTTTTACTGTTGGGGAAATTGAGGCTTATCAAGGACAGTGGTCTTGGCAGTTGTCTATATATGGGGTACTCTGAGGATGAGGGGCCAGAGAGCAACCACTCTACAGTATATGACATAGCTATGGATTTATTCCTCTGGGCATCACAGAGTGTACTTTAGTGAAAGGCGCCCCCATAAGTTGTACTCTTCAAAGCAGGTGGGGCCGGGGCATGTTCTAGAAGGTGAGTGAGGGTGGCAGAGTGGAACTGAGATTGGGATGTAGCAGACAAGTAGCTTTTGTCATCATCACTTTGCTTTTGGCCAGCTGGGCTTGTTGAACCTAAACTGAGAGACCCCTGAGCGTTATAAAGTTTTCCTCCCCGCCCCCCTTCGGTTGGTAGAGCACTTTGCTGATGTTGCATTTGGGGATGGCTCAGACCTCAAAGACCTCAGTGGAAGAAATATTCCATGTTTAAAGTTCCCTGCTGAGGAAGAGTTGGTCAGGACTGATCTGAAATGGAAGGAGACCTCATCCCAGCCCCTAGAGGGAATCTCTGCTGGGCTCCCACCAGTGTGCTACCTCCAGCTCTCAGAATCCTGAGTTCATGCAGTGCAGGTATTCTTCTTTTTTTTTTTTAATATACCGGTGATCAAACTGAGGACCTTGTGCTTGAGAGGCAGGCTCCGTGCTACTACTGAGCTAAATCCCCAGCCCCAGAATCCTGAGTTCTAGAGTGCAATCCTTCCCAGCTTTTATGGGTAGAGTGTCAGTGGGTTACAAGACTAGAACAAGCAGAGGTATTGCTGATGTGGTCATCCTGTCACTCCACAGGGGTCTCTGGTGCGAGCTTAGGGAATGGGACAGATAAAATTGTTACGTATTTATTATGTGCAATATGATGTTTTAAAATATATGTGGATTGTGGAATAGTTAAATCTGTAGTCATTATGTTTTATATACTTTTTTTCAAACACCCCTCACCCAGAGACAGAATTGAGAAATGAGTATGAATATGAGAGCATATTCAATAAAACTCAACATAGAAAAAAATCAATAAGGGAATTGTTAACAGTGGTGGTTTCTGGGTCTACTGTAAAGCATGTCTGTAGTTAATGCCAACATACTGGTTTGTTTTGCTTTTGTGATACTGGGGATTAAACCCAGGGGTACTTTACCACTCAGCTATATCCCCAGACCTTTTTTTTTCTCTCTCTATTTGACAGAGTCTTGCTAAGCTGCCCAGGCTGGCCTCAAACTTGCAATCCTCCTGCCACAGCCATGACTGTAGCTCGGGTTACAGGTGTGTGCTCCAATGCCCAGCTGAAACATTATAATATTGAAAAATGCTAAGAGAATCAATAAGATCTCTCACCATAAAAATGATAATTATGAAGTAATACATGTTAATTATATGAATTTAACCTTTCATAATGTATATGCAAAGTATGATCCAAAAATATGGCAAAGGTTTAAATTTAAAATTTTTTATTTTAATAAAGGACACATTGCCATTAATCCCACTTGCTCCAAATTCACTTATCTGAAGTACTTTCTGAGGGAGTTCTAAAAGCCCTCTTTCACAACTATCTTTATTTGTATTGTCATAACTGCTTTGATTTCTTGAACTGATTCAGTATCTCTATTTTTCAATGCTGGGGATTGAACCTAAGACCTTGCGCATGCTGGGCAAGTGCTTTAGCACTGAGCTGCATCCCCCACCCAAAATCGATTTAAAATATTTACCTTTCATGGACATTTTGACTTTAGGGAAGAGCCAGTTGCATGGTGCCAGATTTGGTGAATAAAATGGATGAAGATACACCATAATCTTGATTTGTTTTGTATTTTTGAGACAGGGTCTCATTACGTAGCCCAGGTTGGCCTTGAACTCATGGTAATCCTGCTGCCTCAGTTTCCTATGTGCTAGGATCACAGGCATGAGCCACCATGACCAGCTTGAATTTGTGATTTAAAAAAGTGAGTTTGTGTGTATGTGCATGCACACACGTATGTAGTACCTGGGATTGAACCCAGGGCCTTCTGCATGCTAGGAATGTGCTGTACCATTCCCAGCCCTCTGTTATTTTCTTTGGAGATATGGTCTCACTAAATTGCCCAAGCTGGCCTTGAACTTGCAATTCTCCTGCCTCAGCTTTCAGAATAGCTAGGAATAATAGGCATGTGCTGGAACACCCAGGTTAAAGGTATATTTGAAAAGAGCCTTTTGTTTTTCTAGGGAAAAAAAAAAACTGGTTTAGGCATGAGCAGAAATTATTCAAAGGCTTGCAAATTTCCTCCTGAGGAGATATCATCTTTAGCAGGAATTAAACTTCAAAGGGCTTGCAGAAAAGAAAGGAGGAAGCAGCAAGGGTAAAATCTGCTTCAGTTGGAAAAGGTCACTCAGGTCACAGTTATTCTTTCTTGCAGTTAGTGCCTCAGGCAGAAACAATGGATAAATTGTGTTGATTATAAGGGTGAAATAATCAAAGGTGACGTAGGCCACCCAATAAACACTACAGCTAGAACAAAAATTCTGTTCCTCTGTTCATTCTGGAAAGCTTTCTTTAAAAATTGAGGTATAATTTATATATCATAAAATTTACTTTTTAAGAACTATAAGTCAGCAGGTTGGCACAGTGGTGTACAACTGTAATCCTAGCTATTCTGGAGGCTAAGGCAGGAAGATTGCAAGCTCAAGGCCAGCCTGGGCAATGTAGTAAGACTTTATCTCCAAATAAAATAACAGAAGGCTGGGGATGTAGCCCAGTGGTATAGCACATACCTAGCAGGGAGGAGATTGTGGGTTCAATCCCCAGCAACTCCTCTGAAGTAGAATTTAGTGCTTTTAATTAATTGATTAATTAATCTGTCTCTCTTTGGAGACAGGATCTTGCTGTGTAGTTCAGACTGGCCTTGAATTCACCATGTAGCCTAAACTGCCCTTGAACTCACAGTGATCCTCCCTGCTTTAACCTCCCGAGTGCTGGGATTAGAGATGCGTGCCACCATACCTGCCCTACTTAGTGGTTTTTAGTCTATTCACAAGTTTATGTATTGTCATCACCAGTATCTAATTCTAGATTATCTAAACCCCCAAAAAGATGCAGCAGATAAGAAAGGACTGTGGATAATATGACACCATCATCACAGATAATTCAGAAATGTTTCTCTTCTCCAGAAAATTGACAGAGACAAGCAGTAATGAACAATGTTTTGAGACAGATGCCATATGGTGGGAGATTTGGTTTTCCACATGTGGATCAATCAGGATTTTCACCATCAGTTCAGCCACATAATTATACTTTTAACCAGTCTTTAGGCTCCCAGTGCACCAGTATACACTACTGTCACAGCGTAAAATCAGATAGATTCTCGTTTCTATCTAATGTCTACCAGGTACACATTATAGCCAAGAACAGCAT